GTACCTAGTCAATTCAGCAAGAACATTTAAGAATTTCCTTTTGAAAGATATATATATATATATATATATATATATATATATATATATATATATATATATATATATATATATATATATATATATATATATATATATATATATATATATATTAAGTGTTGTCCTTGATGGACAACAATATATATATATATTATATATATATATATATATATATATATATACACTCTTCTTCATATCCTGTAACTTCAGGGGTTCCTCATGGTTTAATCCTTGGCCCTATACTCTTTTTAATTTACATTAACGATCTTCCAGATTTTCTCACATCTAAGGTGCCATTGTTTGCTGATGACACTACCATTTATTTTTGTCATGATAAGAAGCCTACACTCTCTGATTGGAGGGGGTATATGAGCTTGAAAAAGATCTCGCCTCTGCTACAGCATGGGGCTCACAATGGCTGGTGAACTTTATTTCAGACAAAACTCAATTTTTTTGTCCAATTGTTATTGCAATAGTTTAGATCTTTCTATATTTATGAATGATAATGTACTAGATAAGTCATCTACCCTTCATCTTCTAGGATTAACTTTTACTTCTGATCTTTTTTTTGAACCGTATACCAAATCCATTGCAAAATTAGCGTCTGCTAAGGCTGCATCTCTTTATGGAGCTCGACACCTCCTTACTCCACATTCTCTTCTCTATCTCTATAAATCTCAAATCCATCCCTGTATGGAATACTGTTGCCATATTTGGGGCGGATCTTCTAATGATGCCCTTTCTTTTTTAGATAAGGTCAAAAACGCATTGTAAACATAGTTGGACCTGCTCTTGCAGCCAATCTCCAACCACTGTCACATTGTCATGATGTTGCTTCTCTTTCTCTTATCTACAAATAATATAATGGGCACTGCTTTAAAGAGCTAGCATCCCTTGTTCCATCTACTAAAATTTATTCTTGTGTCACTTGCCATTCAATCAAGCCTCATCCTTTTTCTGTGACTGTTCCTAAGTGCTCTGAAAATTCTTGTTTCTCTAGTTTTTTTCTTTGAACATCAGTTCTTTGGAATTTGCTTCCTTCATCTTGCTTTCCTGATTCATATAATTTGCAATCTTTTAAGTCATCTGTCAATAATTTTCTTGCTCTACGAATTCTATCTTTTCTCTTCCAGTAACTTCCAAACTCTTATAGTGGTTGCTGGCAGCCTTGTTGGAAGCGAAGATGTAATATATATATATATATATATATATATATATATATATATATATATATATATATATATATATATATATATATATATATATATATATATATATATATATATATAAATTATCATAGCATATTGTTTTTTAATTAACTAATATATAGTCCTACATTCATTTATTTACTTATCTTAAGAATAATGAAATATAAAAAAGGTTTAAAGTTAAGAATAGTTTTGATCTTTACTAGTGTGATTCTATCGCCAAGTTTCTTGTGATCAATCATTTCTCGATGCAAATGTTGCAAAAAGTCGTATATTTTTTATTATGGTTGAATGTTTAGTTTTCTTTTTAAAGGTAAATTACTATCATAAATTACATAAAAAATTTTGATCTGTAATTATATACATAATGCTCACTTTACAAATAAACATAATTTACACAAAATTTTTGAATTGATTAAAACACTAATGTATTGCTTCTATGCCCAATATAACTTACACTAAATTGTCCCATTCAATTACCCGTGTTATCTTTTGAATTTAGAAATAGAAGTTATTAAATGTTGGTGGCTCATCATGCAGTGCATATGAGAAGGGCATGCTTTCAAAGTAAGTATAATTTTACTATAAATAGAGTATTTTTAATACCGCAATTATATTGCATACTTGATATACATAAATATATACGCTGGTCACAACAATCCAGTCAAAAATTTCTTTAAAAAAAATCAATTTAGATTTGAGAAATTCGTATTTTTTGATGTTTGATGTTATGTTTGTAAAATAATTATTATATATATGTGTGTGTGTGTGCGTGTGTGTGTTATTTCTTTATAACCCCTTTATTTTTACATACTTATCTTGACAATATTTTTTTAGGGTTAAGACTGCTCCCCTGATTCCTTCAGCAAAAAAACAACTTTAAAATGCTGGTGATAATATTTTAAAGAGTGCACCTGATCGAAAAGAAGGTGAATGACGTCAACTGTTCGAACATTCGATTCTTGGAAATTAACAAGTGGAAGAAGAAGTTTATAAAATTGTAATTTATAAAACTCATCACAATTATATTATTAAAAAATTTAAACGATTTATTATTTTTTTCTTATTCTCAAGAAGTTCTGTGAAAACATATATTTGAAGCTTACGTAAAGCCATGTAAAAACACGTAATTTAGACGTCGAAATGAGAACGTCTAAATTAGGTTATTTAAAGACGTCATTTGGCGTTTCCATTTAGCACTAGTTCTGAACGTCCTAAATTCACGTATTTTAGACGTCTAAAGACGTCTTTATTCCGTCCTAAAAAGACGTCCTAATTACGTCTTAAAAAGACGTCATCTGGCGTTGCCATTTAGAACCAGTTCCGGATGTCTTAAAAAGACGTCCTTTCGACGTCATATGGACGTTTCCGTGCCCGCTGGGCGAGCCTTGCGAAAAGAATGTGCCAGAATTCAAGCACATGTTTCTTTTACGATAATTAATTATCGTAAACAGTATAATTCACCTTTACCATTTACTTTGAAAAATGCAGCAAATTCTTATTAAAAACTATTGCTAAATGTTCTGTTAAAAACAGGTCTATATTACTGGGTTTTTTCATCTTTGTCTTGGTAAATTTTGATTATAATAGTAAAATTTGCTAAAAATTTTATAAATTATAAAACAAGTTTTGCTATTATCACTTTTCTTTAATTTACTGTTACTAAAGCTTTAGTAACAGTAAATTAAAGAAAAGTGATAATAGCAAAATTTGTTTTATAATTTATAAAATTTTAAATAACATACAGAGACAAATTATTCTGTAAATACCCATCTGAAAACGAGTATCATGTACTAGAAAATATGAGTAAAATGTCATTTATACCAGGAGTTTTGTGGAAAGGTTTTGAAATTATTTTAATTAAAAAGTATGTAATGAAACTCTTTATGTAATCAATTTTAAATGCATTATAACTTTAATATTGTCATATATAAAGTTATTTATTTACATTATAGAAAGCTATGAACAAGGATTGCGACGCATGATTAGTGCATGCTCTGAGTTTGTAGTTCAGAGCAGTAATTTTGAAGATTTGAACAGTTCAGAAGAAGAATCTGCTCCTGTTAAATTAAGCAGCTCTAAGATTAAAGCATCTTTGAAAGATATATCTTCATTTAAAGGTATGACTTTAAGTTTATATAAGTTATTTTTTTTCAAAAAAAAATTAAAACATAAAAAATCAAAAGATTTATTTAACCTTATTACTGTTTTGCTGGCTTTTTTAATGATATCTATATCTGATCTGTTTTAGAGCATAATGAATCCATTGTTTCTTTTAAAGTAAAGAAAAGGAGATCGTCATGCCGTGATGAAAAATCTAATGATTCTTTGTCCTCATCTCCTAAAATAAAGAAAATATTGACCTCTAAATGTAACCCAGCAAAACAAAACCGTATGTTTTCTTTAATCGAAAAAAAAAATCATTATATAAAAATAACCATTATTGTGTTAAAGCAATTTTAATTATTCAATGAGTTTATTATTTTTAGAAATGATAAAGAATTCCAGTATATCACATGAAAACTCCAGGAAAAATTTAAGCGAAGATGAAATAAATAAAAAACGTAATGCAGTATATTTCTTGGTTTACATATAAATGTTATTTGAATATTTTTTAATGAAACCATTTCTAGATATCTATATCTTGTCTCTTTTAGATCATAGTATTGAAAGCAGTGGAGATAAAGATATTTCAAAAGAGTCTTTTGTTTCCTTTGAAGTAAGGAAAAAGCGATCGTCGTGTTGTGATGAAGAATCTAATGATTCCTTGTCCTCATCTCCGAAAATAAAGAAAATATTGATCTCTAAATGTAAACCAGTAAAACTAAACCGTATGCTTTCTTTAATCAAAAAAAAAAATCATAATTAAAAATAACCCTTATTGTTAAACCACAAAAAAATGTGTTGAAGAAATTTTTATTATTCAAAAAGTTTATTATTTTCAGAAATGATAAAGAATTCCAGTATATCACATGAAAACTTCAGGAAAAATTTAGATGAAGATAAAATAAATAAAAAAGGTAATGCAATATATTTTTTAGTTTACATATAAATCCTATTTTAATATTTTTTAATGAAATCATTTCTAGATATCTATATATCTTGTGTGTTTTAGATCTTAGTATTGAAAGCAGTGGAGATAGTGATATTTCAAAAGAGTCTTTTGTTTCCTTTTAAGTAAAGAAAAAGCGATCGTCGTGTCGTGATGAAGAATCTAATGATTCCTTGTCCTCATCTCCGAAAAAAAAGAAAATATTGATTTCTAAATGTAAACCAGTGAAACTAAACCGTATGCTTTCTTTAATCAAAAAATAAAATCATAATTAAAAATAACTTTTATTGTTAAACACAAAAAAAATGTGTTAAAGGAATTTTTATTATTCAAAAAGTTTATTATTTTCAGAAATGATAAAGAACTCCAGTATATCACATGAAAACTCTATGAAAAGTATAAACGAAGATAAAATGAATAAAAAAGGTAGTGCAATATGTTTCTTAGTTTTCTTTCTTACATGTAAATGTTATTTTAATATTTTTTAATGAAATCATTTCCAGAATTTTGATCATTGCTTTCTCAGTAAAATTCTGACAATATTTTTTTAGATTTGGATAATTTGGATTTAGTGATACTAAATCCAAATTATAAGTATTGTCCTACATGTGGCTGTGCAGGTAAGGATATTGTCAGAAATATTTTTACCTGTAATTCTTAATTCATTGTAAATAATTAATTTAACTTTTCACTTTATTAAGAAAATGACATTATGGAAGCTTTATGTTTAAACCACACCAGTGTCGAAATGGAATTTATTATAACATTTATTCATTTATAACATTAAAAAAAAAAATGACAATAATAATGTAATAATAATTAACGATTTATTCATTTAAAATGAATGGTGGTTTTTCTTTACAAATAAGAAAATTTATATTTTCATGACTAAAGCTAAAGGTCATGCATCGAAAGCTAATCTGGAATCTGCTAGGAGAAGTGTCGAATGTCGTGTTAGAGGGGGGGCGAAAATCACAAGAACGTTGTTTAGTCTTCACAATTACACAGTTGATATTCAAAAGATAATGACCGAACAGACAATTAACAAATTACCATTCAACCATGTAGAAAGCTTCCTTGATTTTGATAATAAATTGAAGACTGATTTAGTAATGATGCAAAAACTGGTAAATAGTTTAATACTGATTCAAAAAATGCTAGAAATATTAGTGTTAAGTCTGCTACGAAATATTGTATTATTAAAAATTATTTTTGTTATAATTAATATTATATTTAATTATTTTGTATATAAATTTTATATATAGATTAAAATTTTCTTTTTTTTAGAAATGTTTTATCATGTTAAATGTGAAAAGTACATTAAAACTTTCGGAAAATTTTTCTTTTATAATTCCTAAGATTATTTTACCAAATATCCAAGTGCTATTCAGTGCTTTTGGGCGAGAATCAAACGGTGTAAAAAAGTTAAATTTCTCTGGTACAGAAACTTACAAATATTTGCTAGGTATATTGTCTTATTTTTAACTTTAGCAAACACGAATAAAATATTATTTATATGTAATCTCTTTTATATTTAATATGTAATTACATATGTATGTAATTAAAATACATATGTAATTACATATGTAATATGTAATTACATATGTAATATGTAGATTAATCTACATATTACATAATTTATATGTAGTATGTAATTTCTTACTAAACCCCTAAATACACAATTTAGATCTTTATTTTAGAAGTAGTTTCAATGAAATTTCCTGACATAAATGAAAAAGAAATTTCAAGTCAAATAAGTCGCTGGTTTTCAGGTGCAAAAGATAGAGATGGTGGAAAGAGATACCGATTATTAAAATAAAAAAAGTCGTGAAGAGCGAAAGGATATCGAAAATGAAGACGAAATTCTATAATTTTATCTATTTGTAATAATACAAAAAAAAATTACTTAAAAAGTATAAATAATATAATTTTTGTAATAAAAGATTGTCTTTTAAAGTTTATACTATAGTGTCAATTGTGTGTGTGTGTGTGTCTGTGTGTGTGTGTATTATGATTTTCAGACTCTGATAACAGGTTTGGCGCGACAACGCCAAAACCTGATAGTGAGCTGATAGATATGATGCTGATAGAGCGCGACAGCGCTCAATTTTTCAAGAAAGTACTATTTTAATATCAGCTGCTAACATTTGTTAAGAACTATAGTTCTTACTGGCACAGTACTGCGCCTGTTGTGAATTTTTGATTAGGCAGTAATATGCCATTACCAGATGTCAGCAATGGTTAAGTACTGGACATCCAGTACTGGCGAAGCGTTATCATCCCAGATAAATGCCAGTGCCGAACCAGTACTGGCTGCCAGTATTGCGCCAGTTTTAGACAGTACTGGCGCAGTACTGCGCCTGTTGTAAATTTTCGCTTGGGTGATAACTATAAAGTTACATACATAAAAAGATTTAAACAGAAAACAAGCATCCAAAATGTTAAAGTGGCAACACCTGTCGAGTTATCATCATCGGAACAATAGATTACGTCACTTACGTCACAAAATATAAAAAGAAACAATAATTTTCATTATTCATTAATCTTGATTCAGCACAAATTAAGTTTGACTACGGTTTGCGTAAAGGAAGAAAAAAACTTAATGCCAATCTGACAGAAGAATCCCCTTTTCGTTATGGTATCAGGAGCAACACAATTAAAAAGATAAAAAAACAATCAAAATCACAAAAAGTTACAAAAGTGAGTAATAAGTTTAAAAAACGACCAACAATATGTACTAAAAAATATGGACTCCAAAATCAACAATATCCTAAAATTGCATCTAAACTTTTTGAACTGTAATGCAACATTTTTAAATAACAAACTAGCTAAACTAGAACTAGTAAGCTCAATTTTTAGTTATGATATTATGTCAATTTCTAAAATTTGGTTTTAATGACTATTATGCACCAAACTTAGGCGGATACCAAATGTTCGTTTTCAATAGAGAAGGCAAAAAAGGTGGTCTGTATATATGCTAAAAATGAATTCAATATTAGACGGAAAACAAGTATGGTGTGAACTCATAAATAGATTTAAAAGAATCCTTATAGGTTGCATTTATAGACCACTGAGTTGCAACGAATACCAGTGAATCATCAACTCATTTAAAGAAACACATTTAATTGATTGTAGAAAAACTACTGGTACAATTATTGCAGGTAATTTCATCTTCATCAATATAGCCTGGGACATAAACGGTGTTACATCTTTGCTAAAAGAAGATAAAAATTTTTTTTTGTAAGTGCTATTCAAAATGCATTTCTTTTTCAAAACGTATATGTACAAACCTTTCAAACATGCAATTGAAAATGATAAATGTGCTAGACCTTGTTTTTATGGCAGTATACGAGAGAATCAGCGAGCTAAAAATAGAAGCTCCTTAAGGTCATATCAGTAAACAGGGCCGTTCCGAAGAGGTTTTCTATGGGAGGGGGGGATGTGTGTATTTTTTTGGTAACAAGAAACACGAAAAAAAAAAAAAAAATTAAAAAAAAAGGTCCTCAATACAACTAAATTTGCCAACTTGCTTTGGGGGGGGAAGGCTCCCCCGACACCCACCTTCGGGACGGCCAACACAGTAAAGCATCTCTCGTTAACATTCACCTTAATTTAACAAACAACAATACGAAGAAAGATACTTCACTAAAAAATTGTCTACAAACGATGATCTAACTTCTGTTCTTATTTAAATGACAATTTAAGTTTTTTTAAAGGAAAAATCACAAGAAACTTGAACTGTTTGATCTAATTACAAAAGCTAGTGAGAATGGCTATAACATTTACAGACTTTTGCAATGCATTCGATTATGTACCATACACAAGACTTTGATTATGAAAATTAGTAACATACGGAATAGTAAATAAGATACTCAAATAGATAATAAAATACTTAAAAGATCAAAAAAAGGATGTCACGCTAGGAGACGTTGTATCAGACTAGCTTCACGTGGTTAGTAGGGTTCTTCAGGGCTCGATTCTTGAGCCATTACTATATGTAATTTTCATAAACAACTTGGCATCATAAAAGACTCAAAACTTTATCCAGATGATACAAAAATGATTGGAATCATCAGAGACAAAACGATTTGATTAGTTTGCAAAACGATATCAACTTTATATCAAAATGTAGCAAAATATGGCAAATGTCTTTAAATGAGAGCAAATGTTTGGTGATTCAGATTGATAAACTAAATAAAAGGTTTAACTATCGGGTAAATGGGCATCAATTATCAGAAATAGAGTTTGAGAAAGACTTAGGAGTGATAATCAGCTCTGACTTAAAATGAGACCGGTAAATCAACTCTGTAGCAACGTCAAATCGTATATTGGGTCAGCTTAAAAAGTAATTTCAATACCTTAACATTACCAACATTATTTTAAGATGCTCTTCTCGTCAATATTAAGATCACATCTAAAGTACGGTGTTACCATACAGAATCCAATTGGAATAAAAACATTAAAACAATTAAGGCAGTCTAGAGAAGGGTAACTATACTAGTAAGAGATATTAGTGGTATAAAGCATGCGAAGATAGGATACGCTGCCTTGGTTTTGCAACTGACAACAATAAAAAAAAAAAAAAATAAGACTAGACCAAATACAAAAAATCAATATTAAGAGTGAACTTAATAAAATAAACTTTTGTTAAAGTTCAACTCAAGAAAAACACGACCACGGCGTAAGAGAAACAAACTTTTGTCTTGCACCGTAATCGTGTCGTGGTCGAGAAAAGCAAGTCTGATGTCCGGTACTACGCTGCTGTTATTTATATTTTGCATCAGACTATAATATAGGTATTCTTAAAATTTACGGTTTTTTTATTATATACAACAGAAATCGCTACTGATTTGGCAACAACACGTAACTGACAATCAATACATTTTTACTAACCTCAATTAAATTATATTCTCCTTGAAAATACAAATCCAATGATACCAAAACGTCAATTTTGAAAAAAATGTCAGATACGAGTTATTGCCAAATCAGTTGCGAAATACTGCTGAGGCAAAAGGTTTTAATAATCAATTCTTTTAAACGTTTTTAAACTTAGAAACTTTAAATATATTTAAATATCAAAGTCCTATTCCAACGTTGAGCGTTCTTCATGTCCTCAAACTAGGATTTATACTTGGATAGGCAAGCTGGGATAGATAAGGTATAAGCGCAGTGTAATGTACATACATAAGTGGATTAGGACTAATTTTTTTTTTTTTAATTTTTTGATTTTACACATTTAAGTATATCGTTTTAAAATAAAATAGTAAAAATAAAAAAATTGTTACACAATAAGAAATAATTTAAAATTAAAAAATATAGTATATTTTTACTATATTTTTTTAAATATTATATATAATATAGTATTAAAAAAAATAAAAAAGAACGTGGGTACTTGTAGAAGACCTATCAGGTATTGTCATTGAGAACCGCTTGTAAATTACAAACCTCATAAAGTTCTAAGACATACATATAAGGTAATGTGAGGCATAATAAGAAACGGAGGGGGGGGGAGGGGGAGAAAAGGGGAGCAAAATAAGACAGATAGCTATCCGTCTTATTTTGCTCTCCTTTTCTATATAAATATAAATGCTATATAGCATTTATCATATTGCTAGTCCCAAAATTTATTGTTGTTAATATTTTTAAAGATGCAGTTGTGTTCTAAAATCATTAAATGTTATTCATTTTATATCTCGGATATATGACAATCATTTTATACTTCGAGTATATAACAATTACGAATTTTGAAGCATTCTTATTATAATTTTTCTTACCCTTTTTTGATGGGAGTGTAAAATAACTTTTTATTTAAAGTTTGTGTTTTATTATCATAATTATCATAATTATCATAATTAGGCATTTTTCTATCATTTCCATTTACCCATTATTATTTTCTTTAACCGAATTGTCGGGAAATAAAGCGATTTCGATGCTGGCATGCTACGAAGCAAAATAAGACATTTTTCTTTAATTTATTTTGTACATATCTAATATGTTTATTTATTGTAAATATGTAATTTTTGATATGCTTAGTTGTTATCAAACATATTTAAATCTTTAGTATATTATTTACTTATATTTATTACATTTACCTAATATGTTTAATTTTTATCTAGAAGTTTTATTTTTGCATTTACTGTTCTAAACAATCTAGCGATTTAAATATTATATATAATGGTAAATTTTAAAATCTATAGACACTTCAAAAAGTCCTTGCGTTTATTCTTGTAAAATATATATATATTTTTCATTTTCATTTTTTCATATCAAATTATAGTTTACTGTATTAAACTACAAACAAACTTTTTGCAAAACACACAAAAGCAAATGAAAATTAGATTTTTTTGATTTTAGATAGAGCAAAAAACTTATAAAAAAGTATATATATATTTCTTGATGTACAAGAAACTTATATTTATAACTTATATTTCTTGATGTACAAGAAACTGTTAGAGTAGACAACATTCAGCCTAAAGTTCTCAAAATGTGTTCATAAAGTTCTCAAAATGTGTTATAAAATCACTCTTCAAACCTTTTTCAATATTATTTAACAAGTCTTTCGAATTAAATGTTGTTTCAGACCTTTGGAACAACACTTGTTTTGTAAACTAGAACCATCTTATATTTAGTAAACTAGAACCATCCAATTATCGTCCAATTTCACTAACTTCAGTTGAATGTAATTTAATGGAGCGTATTATACGTGATGAGTTAACGAATCATTTAGAAGCACATATTGATGTTATTATACGCTGAGTTTCATAGTTTTTATTTGAAGTTTTACAAGCATTTTTATGTTTTTTATGTTGTGACTGTTTCCTAAATATCATTTTTCCGTTGCTAAAGGCTATTTAAACTATTTAGAAAAGACTCTGTCTTTTCTAAATAGATTAAAACCTCTAATATTTGCAGATGACCACCAAGTTTCATTTATAAATACAACAGAAGTTGAATAATTTCAATTGCTAGATTGTTTAACTTAATGTTTTGAGACGTAGCATTTGTATATAAGCATTTTAAATAAGTTTGTTTTCTTAAGTTGGTTGAATGTACTTTTTGTAATTACTGTTTTTTTGATCTTTTGAATTGTTTTGCTCCTGATACCGTAACAAAAAGGAGATTCTTCTGACAGATTCGCATTTAGTTTGTTTCTTTCTTGACACAAATCATAAACAAACTTAGCTTGTTAGATCCAGATGAATAAATACATTAGAAAAAACATCGTTTCCTTTTAATTTTTTGCTGCAGATTATAACTTGACAAGTAGAGGAAAGGCGCCTATGATGGCATACTTAACTTTGAAGCTTCATTATTCAGTATCCTAAAGACCAATAAGAAAAGTTTTGATACTGATACGTTCTTTGTTACATGTAGAGCAATAATAAACCTGGAGTTGTCATCAGTTTTTTTTTTAATAAGTTATTCCTATTTTAAAAAATAGCCCTAGTATGCCATCATAAGCAACTGCTCCTATGATCGTCTATAAAGTACGTACGCTTTTTTTTCGCCACTCCCCCTCCGCTTTTTTGAGTACTCTCTACCTCCCTAAAAGTACCTACGCTTTTAACCTACTAACCCAACATTTTATGATATATTTTTTAATCTAGTGTCTCCACACTTTTTATAATTGACCTATTGCCCCTTATCTCAGAAACGCCATTTGCAGACCTCTTCCTCTCCGAGCGTACGTACTTTATGGACGATCCCTTATGCCAGCAGTTACAACGTTACTCCATGTTTTATGATTAGAAATTTGTTTATTTTTTAAATTAATAATTTCTTCACATTGTTTTCTAACAATTTCTTTCAAATATGCAACTTCAATTTGTAATTCTAACAAAACTTCTTTCAAAACTGCTGTAGTTAGTTTTCCATTTCGACCAGGGATTATTAGTCTATTGTTTTTTGTCATTTTTGTTATAAAATTTTTTATTTATAATTTATTTTATATATTATATATATATATATATATATATATATATATATATATATATATATATATATATATATATATATACCTTTTTCACTTTTAGTTAAAAAACTGTAGTTATTATGCAATAAAATCTAAAATAATAATTTTCATATGAAAAAATTATTATTTTTAAAATTTTTATAAAATTTCGCTTTATTTGAGTACTTACATCACATAATTTTGAAAAACTTTTTTTTTGAATAATAATAGGGCCTGCTAATTTTTGTAATTATAGTTGCGGGTGGAAGACATTGTTCAATCCATAAAAGTAAATACTTTCCTAAATTAGTACATAAAAAAACAACTTTCTAGCAATGTTTAGAGCCTGTAACAAGAAAAAAAAATTTTATGACCCACCCTAATATATATATATATATATATATATATATATATATATATATATATATATATATATATATATATATATATATATATTTTAAATTTGTTATACTATTTGGTAATTATATATTAGTTGAATTCACATCTCTCATTATCAATATTATTTCTTCTAAACTATTAGTGCTTTATAAATTTGGGTGAAGTTAGGGTTTCGGCTGTGTGTAGTGAAGTCCTTTTATGTATGTAGTAGAAGTCCTTTTATGTATATAGTATGGAGTAGGCGTAAATCGCGGGGTAAAGCATAAATGGCGATGTTTATCTGACGGTATAAACTAGGTATTGGTGCTGAGCCTCTTTGAAACTCTAGTAATAATAAACGCGATTCTGAGGAGAAGTTTATTACCACCACTATATAAATTATGATTACACAAAAGCAATAATGTTTTTTCTTTACCTTATACCTCCTATCGCTTACAACGTATGTTTAACTAAAAGCAATTATTACATTTTTTGTATACTTTATAATTCGAAACATGATATTGTATATAAGGTGTGATATTGTATATAAGGTGTGATATAGGTATAAGGTGTGATATTGTATATAAGGTGTGATATTGTATATAAGGTGTGATATTGTATATAAGGTGTGATATTGTATATAAGGTGTGATATTGTATATAAGGTGTGATATTGGTATAAGGTGTGATATTGGTATAAGGTGTGCTATTGTATATAAGGTGTCATATTGTATATAAGGTGTGATATTATTTTGTAGTATAAGAATAAAAACTTTGTTGTATAAGGATAAAACAGCAGGTTTAACTCCATGTGGAGTTTTTTACTAAAAGATTTATTTTCGTGTGGCCACTTGAAGATACCTTCTTTTGAAGTTTAACTTTCGGACAGCGTGCAAATTTAAATTTGCAATATCTTGATTTAAGTCTTGTTCCTTACTTGATACTAGATGAATTTACAAATGCTTGTCAATGTTCATTTTGCAATTATAAAAACAAAACTTTTTTTACTGTTGATATCTCGTGATATAATATTTGAAACTTGATTGGTTTTCGCTTATGGCGGTTCGCAAAAAGACGACTTTATTTTTCGGTGATCACCGTAATTGCCAGAAATGTTTTATCTGCGCATGTTTAAGGCCGTTTTCCACAAGACGAAATATTCGCGCGAAGCGAATTTTTTCGCTATGACGAAAAGCTGTTTTGATTTCCACTTACTTTTTTTTCGCGCTATTTTTTTTTCGTTGCTAACAATAAAAATGGCAGCAATAAGTTTACGCTGTATGTTTAACTAAAGGCAGTTATTACTTTTTTAGCATACTTTCTACTTCTAGCATGTGAAAATTTCTTTCCGTGCATTAATATCAACACTTCTGCCTTATGTAAGATGTGATATTATTTTGTCATATAATCATTTAACATAAGGTTTTTTTTACAAGAAAGTATAAGAAAATAAATGCAAAACTCTGATATAAACATTTCTATTAAAAACTGTTACTGCAAGAAAGAACAGCAGGTTTAACTCTATGTAGAATTTTTCACAAAAGGGTTTATCTTCGATTTAGTTTTATATATAAGTCTGGTCATTTTTTTTATGTAAGTCTTGCCACTTGTTTGATGAATTTACTCATGCTTGCCAATTTTCAGACTAAGTTCATATAAAATTAATAAGAAGGCCAGGTTAAGAATTTTGTTTTTTGTTACTTTAAAAACAACATGTTTTCATGTTGACATCACGTGATATAATGGTGATTTGCAAAAAGTCGAAATGAATCCGACTTTTTTTTTCGCTGCAGCGAAAAAAAATCATTATTATCGCCAAAAATGTTTAATCTGCGCATGCTTAACAACAAAAAAATTTGTTTTGCGCGAATTTTTCGTCTTGTGGAAAACGGCCTTTATCGACGAAAAAATTCGCTTCGCACATATATATTCTCCTTTTTTTTTCGGATAACGGCCTTCGTGTACTTATTCGCTAATCTCGCCCCATATGACATCTGCGTTTATTAAAAGTTAAAATCTTTCGTTAAAACATCCAAAAACAAATACGATTATATTTGAACGATTTTCGAAAACTAATTATTTAGTTTAAAAACAAAACTTATTTTAAAAACGAAAACAATAAAGCTTAAACAATTTGTTTTGATTCCAAGGGAATTTATAATAAACATATTTTGATTTGAAACATTTTTTTTGCTATTTTTAAATGACATATAATATTCTGAAAATGTTATCCAATGAGCCTGAGGCTTGCTGGATAACATTTTCAGAACATTATATATCATTTGCACTTGTAAAAAAAATTTGTTTTAGGTATTTAGACATAAATCTAATAAAGTTTAATGCAGAGTCTGCATAATACATATAATTTAATTGTGTCGGCATTGCAGATAATTGATATGCATTATAAGTTAACATTTAAAATACATATGTAATAATATTATATTATTACAGTAACACAAATAAGTATATAATATATAGCTCTGTATTTACATCACTTTATATATCATTATGTATGTAATGCATTATGTATGTAATGCAATCTATTTTGCAATCTCAAGTATTTAAGTTTTTCTGTTTATCGTTGTTTATTGATACCATCAGTAAGAAATTCATGTGTTAGATTTAAATAAAAAAAATTATTTTAGGTTTTAATAATGTTTGTTTAATTATATTCCTTTTTGGATACATTTGACCTACATGGAAACATTAAACCAGTTGTTTCATAGATCATTGCATTTAAAAATCATTTTGTTGTTATTTAACTATTATTAATTATTTAAACTTCACTATGTAACAAAAATTATTCATTAGATAATAATTGTAAAATAACATAGTTGGTGACTCTTGTCAATGATTAGCAAATTTGTAATAGCATCTACATAGAAAATGTTATAATTTGGATAGTTTAATAGATGCGTAGTAGTATTGCTCTTGGTGATAAATGCAGATGGACAAATTAAGAATTCTTTACTTCTGTGCTTAAAACATAGTTTATCACACCAGCTTTACCAACAAAAGACCAAATAGTACATTTATTAGATAATCATGAATTTTAATGCTCAAAAGAGTCAATTCTTTTTTGTAAAGAAAATAGAGTATGTTTACTTAGCTTACTTTCCTACACTACTCAACTCATGCAGCTCCTAATGTTAGGATATTATTTCCCTTTAAATCAAATTGTGAAGCTGCTTACAACTAACTTTTATCAAAAAAATGGAAAAAAATGTGAAGAACAGCCTTGTTATTTTAATACAAAATAAAAATGTTAAAATTATTACTACAAGTTATTTTTACATATTTAGTGAAAAATTTTTTAATTAATTTATAAATCAAATTATTATTTTACTAATAATCACATTGTCAAAAGTAACTCTATAGATGGTTGAAATTACTTCAGCAGTGGGATACAATCAATAACTCTGAGGCTTATTATTAAAACAGTTGTAGAATTAACAAAAGTCAAGATTTTAAATACATTAGTTGTTAATTTTATTTGCTAAAAGTCTTGTATTGTAACCAAAATTTATTCATTTCTGGTAATATATCATTTAGAAATAACCTTAAATGTTTAATGTTCTCTATCTTCCCCTCTAAGGAAGATTTGTATAATATATAAATCTTCTTTACCTGTTTTAAATCAACAATACATTAGTTGGCATATTTTTATCGCTAAAACAATAATAGGCAAATAAAAAGGCCAGAAATAAAGGATACTTAAAACTTATTTAAAAAATTAAAAAATTGTGTTGCATAAAAGACATAATAGCTAGATTTTTTTTCATACATAATAGCTGTATGTATGTGAAAAAACCTTAAAAAGTACATCTCAAAAACATGCAATATATATAAAATTACAAAATATATCATATGTTTAACATCTTTTAAATAAATTTTTAATCATAATTTTTTAGTTATTTAAAAACTTTTATTCAATTTTTTTTAGTATGTAGAACCAACAAGCATGAAGAAGGCTAAAATGAATAAAAGAGACCATGGGCAGTAGTGTCTCTCGTAAAAAGTATAATGCAAACCGTATTGCTGCAGTTACTCCATCTTATTCCACTTCAGAACAAACAAATAATGCAGTAGAAATACATGTTCCTGATCATGTTAAGCAAAAATCTAAATCCCTTTCTTTGCTCTCTTTTACCAAAAAGAATTCTCTTCATGTTCAGAAAACAACAAGTTTTAATTTAACTGCTACTAGTTTAAATACAGAAAATCAAATTGAAAGACTTTTGAAGACAATAGAGCAGCTAAAAGGTTATTTTAAAAATATAAAAAGTTTTTAGGTAATTAAAATAATAAAAAACTATATATAATATGCTTAAATATAGATTTACATAATATTTTATAGATATTTATATAATAGATTTATATAAATTATATAGTAGCTAAAAAAGGACCCATAAAACAGATTTATGACTTTGTGGTATACAGCTTTTATGTCTTTGAGTTTAACTTAAAAATGAAACAGCTGTTGATTATGTGGTTTTATGCTTTCAAAAATGACAAAGTCTTGAAAAATATTTAGGAACACTATTAACAGCTATTAAGTTTGCTTTCTCGAAATTGTTATATATTTTAGTTACAATATGTATATATTTTTTATATGTATTATAAGTCTATTTTAACAAACTTGCATAAAACTTAAGATATATGCAATGGCATATCTCTACTAATTACTTATATTAAGTACATATTTATTGTAAATAAATTTTATTGTAAATACTAATTTATTGTAAAAGTGTCAATGAGAATGTTTTTATTAAAGTTAGTTAATCATTTAATTTTTTTAATAGCACTAATAGTAACATTCAATTTTATTTATAGTTTTTAAAATCATTTCTTAATGGTGTTCTAAATACCCCAAAGGTTACTGGAAAAAAAGGAAAAAAAAGGAAATAGTTGGCCAACCTTGAAAACTTAATTACTTCAATTTGAAAATTTAAAAATTCTGGTAGTCTTTAAAGAGCTTTTGATGTGTCAATGGCAATAATTTTTGTCTCACCGCTTCTATCTAATTAATGATAAACTTGTTAGACTCAGAGAATGAGAGCAATGGCGAGGAAGTTGTTTCTTAGAGAGTAGTTTGTTTGGTTATAGATGAGATATTAGAATGAGAGATTTAAAGACTTCGCCAATTAAAAGATTGATGATAGAAAGATTGGTTAAGACTATAGTTAGAGGAGCTAAAGCAATTTCCAGACTTTTTAAAAATAATAAACAAATTTTCAAGAAGACATGAAGACAAGGTTTAGTTAAACGCTTACTGAAAATTCTAGAAAAATCTTTTGTAAGACTTTAACAAGAGTATTAAACAGAGCACAAGCTGTAGAAGAAAGTGGAGTATAACGTTAGCAATGGAAACTGGAGTGATTAGCTTGTCTTAAAATAGGTTAAACTACTTTTCTAGTTTGTTATCAGAAGTGATGTTGTGAAAAAGATATAAGAAACAATTTCAATTAGAAATATTAGCAATTAGGGCTGTACCGGATTTCAGCTCCGGCTACTGCTTAGGCAGTAAAAAATTATGAAAAATTAAAAAAATTATGAAGGGAAAACATACGATATTCTACAATGATGCAGGTGTAAAGACTATGATGTCAACCCTAATTAAGTCATTAGATGAGGGTTAAAAGCATTTAAAAGAGAAACCTCTTTTTATAGTGACGAAGCTGGTTGATCCACAACTTAAAACTAAACTCCCCTCATCACAGGCAACACCGACAGCTGAAAAAGCAAGATTGAAGTCAATCTGAGAATGCTGAGCAGAAGATTGACAAAACTGAAGAAAATCACACCACACAATCTTGCTATTTCTTTTTGACTTTTTTGATGAATTGACTATTTGTCATTTTACTTCTTGTAATAATGATTTTCTGCCCATTTTTCTGCCTCAGTTGCCTCAGTTATGCCAAGAGTTTACTAATTTAATTATCTCTTGAACTACTGACCAGTAGTTTTTTACAGTAGTAGTTTTTTAAGAGTTTTTTACAGTAGTTTTTCTAACCAGTTAGAAATTGATTTTTATTTTTGAATTTATTTGTAATTTATATTGGTTAAAGCGAGTGCAAGTTTTTAGGATTTTTATAAAATTAATTTTGAAGTTATTAGGTTTAAATTAACTGATTTTAACATTTTGACACATTTTTCAATAAGTAATTAATAGGGTTGCTTTAATTTACCATTAAATTACTCAAAAAAGATAAATAGGACCAATAAGTGTTATAGATCATTAGAAAGCTAAATGATTAACTTTATTATTTATTATTATTTATCTTTTGAAAAATAATAGTTGAATAGCCGTCAAAAATCTGACCTCAGGAAGCGAGAGCTTTAACTTTTACTCTCAACAACATTGCCCCAAAGTGGTTCACGGACGCAATTTACTGCTCTTGCAAATGTATAATTTTTCATAAAAAATAAAGTTCAAGTTTTAGATTGTTTTTTTTTTTGATTACAAAATGCAATTTTTATTTTTAGTAAAGTTCTAATAAATAAAGGAATAGCTAGTATGAAATCCAGGGCTGTGGAGTCTGATTCGGAGTTGCGGAGTTGCAACATTTTTAGCAGAGTCAGTAAACAAAATCGCGACTCCGACTCCAATAGTAAAACTTACATGTACAAAACATTCAATTAACCTTATTTTCATACTAAACCTCAAAGAACATTTCATAAATTTTAAAAAAAAATTTTTTTTGTTCTTATTTTTTTGAATTCTTTAAAAAATATTATTTTTTAAAGAATTCAAAAAAATTTTTTAAAATTTTGCTTTGGAGTTGTAGTCGGAGTTGGAGTCAGAGTCAGAGTTGTACTCAAAAAATTTCAACAACTGGAGTCGGAGTCGAAGTCTATATATTTTTTTTCGACTCCACACCCCTGTTGAAATCTAAAGAAAACGCTTATCTAAGGATTTTTTTTTTCTTTTCAAAATTTAATTTTTCTTGTCACAGCAAATGCTTGTAACAATAGTAAAATTAAATTTTGTATTTAATAAGCAATTTATTTAATAAATAAACAGATAGCTTGCATAAAAACCAAAAGCTCTCATAAAAAGCTATTTGTTTTATAAGAGCTTTATCTACTCCTACACTCATTTACTCCTGCCAAGGCCTGTGATCTTATAATTTTGAAAACCACTTTAGGACTTCACATCTTTATTTCTTTTTTTTTTAAAGTTGATCATGAAAATGAAGTCTTGAAAATTAAAACAGAAAAAAAGCAGCTCGAAATGAAAGTAAACCAATTGCAAAATGAACTCAAAATTGTTAACACAGCTTTACCCAAACTGAGAGCTGATAAACAAATTGCAAAGAGTGGTGAATCGGATGCATTAAAAAGATGCTCTGCTTTTAAAAATGGTATGTTTTGTTAAATTATTTTTTTTTACAATAAAATTATTACTATAATATTTAATAATTAAGAAATTAAATTTGAATTATGTTTTATTTATTTGTTTAAGTTAATAAATAAAATTATGCGCAAAAAACAAATTAGTCAATACATATCTTTTAAACTTTGTAAAGGTCAAAATTCAAAATGGAAATTCATAATTTAGTTTTTTTTTTATGATTTTATTTAAAAACAACTTTGAATTATTTAAAAAAATCTTTCTATGATTTGTGTATGTATGTATGTATGTATGTATGTATGTATGTATGTATGTATGTATGTATGTATGTATGTATGTATGTATGTATGTATGTATGTATGTATGTATGTATGTATGTATGTATGTATAACATTAAGTGAACTACTATTTGAAGAAGCATACTAAAAACTGATAATTAAGGAAATAAGTTGGATAAATTTATTAATGTACAAATGGTAATGAACAAATTGCTTATGACTTTTATTAATGTCTTTTTTTATAACAAGATGGAAAAATGTAATCATACTGCTCTAGCAGTAAAGATTGAACCTTATTTTCCTGTAAAGTTGTGTTTTTTTCTGTTTTGTTTTTTCATACTTAAAATTTTTTATTTGTCTTCCTTTTTTGTCAAGCAGTAATGTTTTGGAATTCTCCATCATATGTTTTTTTGTTATGATATAAACTCGAGCAAGTTTGTATCATAACAAGTTTGCTTTTATATATATTTATATATTTTTGTTATCATATTTTTGATATATATTTTATATATATTTTTGTTATCATATTTTTCTTTATTCTTATTCAGTTTTTATTTTGACAGTTCAATATTTTTGAGTATTTGAACTAAATGATAAAATCTAGAGTTTAATAGAAAATAATTCAAAAAGCTGAATAAAAAAATAAATATTTTTTTAAGAAATTTTTTTTAACTGAGAAAGTTTTTTAGTCTTTTTATTTAATTATACTATATATATATATATATATATATATATATATATATATATATATATATATATATATATATATATATATATATATATATATATATATATATATATACAACCCTCTTCTTTTTTTTCCGACCGCAAACACGTTTAGGTCAGCAGTTATATATATATATATTTATATAATTTTTTATATATATATATATTTTATTTAAGAAAGAGATAAAATACAAGTTGAGCTTGAAAATGCTAAAAAGCAGATTCAACAGTTGTTGAAAGAAAATCAAAGTTTGATGCATCTTATTCAAAAGCCATCAAATCGACAGGATTTGCAACCAGTGGTTGATCATCACCAGCATCTTATTACTGATTGGTTGTTTGCTAATCATAGTGGTATTGAAAGCCAAGTTGGAGTCCATACTTCAAAAGCTGAAAGCATTGTTACAGTAAATGAATCAATACCTAACCTAGATATTAAAGGTATACTTTTTTTTACAATAAAGTGAAATTTTTACAGTCTTTAAATGATTAGAAATCAATCATTTTAGTTTTACTTTGTAGTTATAAATAAATAAGCAGATAAAAAAGGTAAAAGTTTAGTTTAGATATTGAGGTTTAGAGGTTTGCTATAGTTTTTTTTATCTTGATGCTTGTTATTAAAAATATATTAGGATGTTTAATAATTTAAATTAAAACCTTTATGTAATAAATAAATAAAAACATTTATTAAAGTTTTATTATATTTTCTTATTAATAATGTTCATTAAATGAAAAACTTTTAAAAAAACTTTAAATTAAAACTATAACTTTAAAAAAAAAAAAAAATTTAAAGCTAAATTTAATTTTTATTTAAGGTTTAAGTGAAACACTGAAAAATTTATTGTCTAAGCTACACAATAAGTGGTATGGCGTTCCTTTAAAAAATGTTTTCATGCTTCATATAGAATATCAGAAAAATATGGAATCTGCTGCCAAACTTATTTTAGTTTGTTTTTTTTATATTTGATTGTTTGTAAACAAAATAATAAATTTTTTTGTTGTTGTTTTTTATGATTTGCTTCAATAATAAACTTGTGTTTTAATGTTTAGTCAGTGTTTGCATTTATATTGAATTTATGTTGTTTTATGTTTGGTTGTTTTTATTGTTCTATAATGTTTTATATTTTTCTGTTTAATTGATGTTTTCTATGTCTTCTGTAACATTTGATGTTTTTATGTTAATCTAAATTCTTAAACTGCAATGAAATTGTTAATATACTCATATACTTGTTTTTTATTATTTTTATTATTATTTTTATTGTTTTAATTTGCTAATTATTTCTTATGTCAATACTTTTTGCTTAATTTTCAGGATGGCTGTCGAAATTTGGCATTGCAATTTGAAATGGGTGGTCATTTATTGAACTACTTTTGCTATGAAACTGGATCTCAATACAAAGTACGTATTTTAAATGCGCTAATATTAATTACAAATTGTCTACTTTAAGTTTCTTGTTTTTTACTAAAAGTTAGATCACTGGTGTATACTGTTAAAATGATTGGCTACCTGGAATGGTTGGAATAGTTTAAGCTTTTTGAAAAGAATTCAACTAGTCAATGATGGATCATTTCAAGCCCCAATAATAATTATGATTAAAAAATAAAATCAATAAATTGTTTAAGTTATCTTAAAAATTATTTATGTTCCCTTAGTCTTTATTTAGGTATGCTCAAGCAAAAAAAAATATTGTTCAAACAAAAAGATCAATTTCTTTGCAAAACATCATTCTTTGCAACAGGATGAACAAAAAATAAAGATGAACATCATTCTTTGCAACAAGATGAACAAAAAATAAAGATGAACATCATTCTTTGCAACATAATAACAAAAAATAAGATGAATTACATTTTCTACAACATAAAAACATTTTAGTCAGTAATGAAACAAACTTAATTAACGCTATTGTGTGGAAGTTTAATTTAGAATTAAACTTCCACACAATTGCGTTAATTAAGTTGAACATCCACACAATAACATTAGTTAAATGTTTTGTTCCATTCTATCCCCAGTACAATTAGGTTTTTTGTTTAGATGTATGCACTCTATAATCTTTTGAAATAAAATGCACCATTTTTGAAGTCTAATAAAATGCACCATTTTTGTGCTGTGCTTAGTACAAATCTTTCAAAAACTTATTTCAAATTGTTATCAATTTTGAATTAGTTTTGAATTGATTTTAAAACTTTTTAAAAACTGGTTTATTGGCATTAGTTTATCAGCATATGTACATAATTCTTTATATTAACACTTATAATTTTTAATATCATATAGAGTAAAAGCGGGTCAAACCAATCACCAAACAATAAAAATCAAGTAACTTTATTATAAAATTTTTATAAAATTTTTTAACTATTTTTTTAAAATAAGATAATACCAACAAGCACATTATTTATTTATTTTTTTTTTAATTGTATTTGAAAATATGAAAGCTAGAAAAAAAAAAATAAAGATTGCTTTTGGCAGAAAGTATATTAAAACCGATCAATATAAAATATGTTTAATAAATTTAACATTTTATATATGTAAATGTATATATTTTTATATATTTTTTATATAGCATACAGAAATAATAAAACATTTAAAGTTTACATTTTTTACAAAAAAAAAATCTGAACCCATTACAAAATTTTTTGACAAACATGTTTTGTTGCAGAGCCAAGTATTGCAATTTGGATTCTCGCATGACATCATGTCTGAATGTAATTCTTTTTTACACTTTCTGCATTTAATAACTTTTCTTTTTTTGGCTGAAGGTGTTGTAATCAGTTCTATATTTTGAGTTACTTCATTTTCTGCAAGGTTTGGCAATGGCATTATTTAGCTTATTTTTCAGTTAATTTGAGTTGCTTAACTTCTTCTCTTATTTTGAGATGATCTGCAACACCATGTTCTGTTATACATTGGCTAGCAATTTTTGGAATATTAGATTGCCTTGATTTTTTTTACATGAGACTGATTTTTTTCTTGAAAAAAACTCTTTAGCTCATTTTCCATTTTGATTTTCATTCTCTCATATAGGGCTCTGTACTTGTCGAACCTCAAAGCTGCTGTTGCTGGTTCAGAAAGTATTGCTAAAGACTTTATTGTTCGCTATGGCGTTGAAGGTGTCGGTTGATTAAATGTTTCAGAGATAGCTAATGCCTGTTGATTGATTTTGTTTTTGTTAAGTGGAAACAACCCAGTATATTAAAAACCAGCAATAGCGTGCAAACATGTAAAAAACTTATAAAACTTACAATCTGATTTTATAACGTGATTATGATTATACAACATACAATCTGATTTTTAGAAGTTGAGTTAACAAATTATTACTCTTAAAAGACTTGTTAGTTTTAGAAAAAACGTTACGGCTTTTTTTACGTTTTTTTTAAAAAAACGTTACGACTCATTCATTGCACAGAGCGGCTCTTTGATTGACAAGATGTTATGAAAGAGCCAATTTCTCTCTTTGTTAAAAATAGGTGTATGACAGATTTTTAGCATTGTTATCCGATTTATTTTATTTTTATAGTATCACCCAATAAAGTAACTATTTAAATTAAAAAAAAAATTTATTAATCAAAACTGACTTTTTTTCATACCTTTTTAAAGCTAGCTCTTTCATACACACTCTTACACACATACTTACTGCTTTCATACACCTGTATGAGCAACGTAGGAAGATTTTCTTTATCTAAGTTTTGTGTCTTTGTAATATTTGGTAAGAACTGCCTTCCACAACTGCTTAACATGGCAATAGACACCTCTGTCCAGTGGTTGAAGAACGTGAGATGAGTGGGCTGGTAGACAAATCAAAATTATATTGTTTTCCCAACATAGCAATACAGCTGCTAAACTGACGTGAGGCATATGTCCATCAAGATCTAAAATATGAGTACCACTAATAGCTTGACATTCTGGTATATACACTTCCTTCAACCATTCAATAAATGTGTCATGCTTCATCCAACCAGATTTAGAAATTGAATATTTGGTGCCAGTTGGACCACCTAAGCCCAATCAGCTCTAAAGTTTCGTTTTGCTTTGTATACCACAAATGGTGGTGTAAAGTATGCATCAGCATTACAGCAATTGTTCACTGTATAATGGATTTTTTCATTGTTACCAGTGAGTTTCAAAACATGCTTTGCACTTTTTTGACTACAGTTGCTTTGCCTTGATCACCACAGAAACCCGTTTCATCACAATTTCAAATGTGACAACCAGAAGTTATCCCAGACAATTGATATTGTTTAGTGACAACTTCAAAATAATTATCAATTATTTCTTGCGTACAAGAAGCGGCTCTGACAGATTCTAAAGTGTGAGTTTTTCTTGTGGAAATTTCTTTAGACCATCAGTTTATAAATGCATAAAACCAGTCTTTGCCAGGCCTGTCGTTTTTAAATAGGCCTGATTGATTTGTACAAAGAAGGTAACCGCATACAAAGTCCATGACATCATTTCGTGTTAAACCATAACCCCAATCACATAGGAACTTAAACGCATGCACCATAATTGACTCTGTTTGCTGTGAGAGTATGGTTGTTGATCCTGATCTCTTGTTATTGTTGTTCATGCGACCTATTAGAGTTGAGAATGGAATGCCATATTCAAATGCAGTTCTGATTGAAGTATTTTTTATAGCTGCGTTAAAATCACGCAGCTTCTATATCTTCTTCATTGTATGACTTTTTACTTGTTGTCATCTTGAAAGTGAATAATTAATAAATATCATTGAGTCATTTTTGTAAAATAATTTTATATAGGAAGAACCTGGAACTAACACATGAGAAAATTCAATAATTTAATTCACCTAGGTAATTTAAAAATTCACATACTACTTAATAAAGGAATTTAAAGTAAATATCGGTTTTACCATAAAAAATTTAATATTAATTTTTCTTACTTTTTTGTCTAATTTTTAATTATAAAACAAAAAAAAATTATGTAATCGGTATTAAAATTGAATTTTCTACAAGATAGAGGTAAAATTATTTTTAAATGAATTATGGTTCCCGAATTATTACGATAGCAAATTAAAAAAAAGCAAATTTTTACGAATCTCTTTTAAACTTTTATAAAAATAAAATGACTGAAAAATGACTTGGATTTTATTTTGACACATTTGAATAGAGGAGATGATTCTCTTTCTTCTGGTGTTTTTATTTTTTAAATATTCCTATTAATTCTGGTTTTATTTAAATTTTTCGATTAGTGATCGAAAAAGTAGTATGATCGGTTTGACCCGCTTTTACTCTATATGGCCAGGTTATTCACTAACTCATTAAAAATCACTATAAATGCATTAATTTTTTACTCTTAGCTGGTGGAGTAGAAATAAGTTCCCAACATCAAAATTGAAAGTTTAATGTTGGCAATTTGTTTTGGAATCAATTGATAACAGTTCAAAACTATTATTTTATAATAAATTTTGAACTAGTTAACTTGATGTTTTAACCCTTAATGTTTTCTTTGGTTTGCTCTCTGATTTTTATTGACAACTAACAATAAAAAATTTTGTAGTCATCTATTTAAAATCATTCATATATTATGAAACTGGTGATATATTTATTATTTATTGATTTGAAAAAATTGTTTAAAAGATTTTCTTTCATAATCAGTTGACAGTTAGGTAGTAGGTATGGTGTAATAGGTGAAATATCACTTGCATCAGTTATCTTGTATGTTATATTATTAGGAATTTCATTTTTTTATTTTTTATTCCTGAACTATAAGTCTAGCATAACTTTTATGTTTTTTATTATGTTTTGTTTAATATCTGTTTTATTTTTTTAATATCTGAGTGCTGTTTTTATCTACCGTGTCATAAGATTTTACACAGTAAAATTAACATATAATCATTATTAAAAGTTTTTAAAGTTATTTGATAATTCTGTATTTTAAAATGATTTGGTAATCCTGTTTTTTAAATAATTTGGTCATCCTATTTTCAGTGGCGGAACTTCAAATTCAATACCCTCCCCCCCTCACCCGCAATTTTTATCTAATTACATTTGTTTTAAAAATTGTTGCACAACTGAAATCGAATAAAAAAATTACAGTATATCTAAAATTGTAAATTTGCTGTCTATTTGACTTATAACTACATGTAAAACATTACTAAATACTTTGATGCAAAAGATGTGATCTTCATTATCAAAACGATGATTGCTCAGTAGTTCATCAAAATACCACAAAATGAGGCTTAACTGGCAAATTTAAAGTTCCAGCCCAGCGAGTTGTATTCAATCTTTTAAGTGTAATCTGAGACTCGCCAGTAATTGTGATAATAGATCCCACCTTTTTACACTATTGCCAAAAAATGCATTAATACTATCTGGAGTTGCAAAATCTATTTAAATTTTGTGATAACTTTCACAGCTTTATTTATAACTAGATTTAAATTATGAGCTGCACAATGTAGATATATAGATTTAGGTTTATCTTGTTTAAAAAGAGACTGAACACCATTGTAAGCCCCACGCATAACATTTGCTCCATCATAAGTTTGTCTTCTACATTTATTTAATGTTATTATTTTTTTTCAAGCAGATTTAATTTTTCTATATATTTTCCAAGAGTTGTGTGGTTGTGTACTTCCATAAAATCCCAAAAAACTTCCTTAATTTCAATTAATGTTAGTTAATTTTTTATTATTTTTACTCATCTAAATACTTGATTTAGTTTTTTTCTTTTTTTTTTTCTTTTTTTTTTGCAATGTCTTGCAAGGTATTCATGATATTTGTATAAAAGGAGCATTGTTTATATTATTGATTTACATTGTCTTTAAATGCAAGACAATGAATAATTTAGTTCAGAGACAAATAATTGTTCATGAATAATTTCATTTGATGGCTTAAATATTTAATAGTTCTATAGGGCATGATGAAAACTTGTTTCATAACAGTGTCATATTTTGATAAAAGATGTACTTGGGTTAAAAAATTACCATTATATTTATCCTCAAATGATTTGTGATGACTACGAAAAGCTAAACAATTTTTAGAAAGTACTAATAATATTAACAAGTCACTTGTACCCAAAATTTGGTTTATATCAAATTTTCTCTTCTAAGCTTTTATCAATAGTTTATAAATAGTTTGATTTTGCTTCATGTAAATATCATTTTTTCATTTATATGAATATTTTATCAATTTGCAATTTCATTTTGCTTCCACTTATTATATATACAACATGATTGTATAAGATGCTGACTTTTTTTGTGTTCATTATTTTGAAAGGCCTTGCCAATCACTAATTCCCAGTGTTTACCATTTATCATGGAGTTTTGAAAATAACCAATAAGGTTTGCAATATATTGCATCTAGTTGGGGAGAATAACATAGCAACGACCTCTTAACCATTCCATACTTAGTTAAAATTTTATAAAACTCTTCTGAAAGTTTTGGGCCCCCAACAGAACAGGTCCTCCCATGTTGTGGGGTATTGCAGTATGGTAGTTCCGTTACTGCCTATTTTTTTAAAATGATTTGGTTTGGTCCTTATGTTTATTAATAAAAGTAAGTAAAATAAAAGTAAATAAAATAAACTTAAATTAAAAAAATTAATAAACATAATAAACAACAGGTGACTAACTATATTTTATTTCTGATTTTTTTGGAACTGTTTTATACAGATAGTCAGATGATATTAGAAAGTATAATATTTATTACTAAGTTTAGTTATTAAAAAAGATCAAAGTATACAAAATGTATATAAATGATAAAAAAACTTTTCTAGTAAAATTATTTTAATTTTTATCTTGTTGAGTGAGGACTCTAGCCCTTATTAGATCAACTTCAATACCTTCAATACCAACATCTTTGCTAGTAGTTTTAAAAACTTATTATAATTAAGGTTTCTTGTCTAGAATGAAGAATCGGTTCGTCTCGAATTTATGAAGCATAGTGACATTTTTCTGCTATTAACATCTCTAGATAATAGGTAACTTTTAATGTGTGTGTGTGTGTTAAATATACAAATAAAATAAAAATATACATTAAAAATAAGATGAAAATTTTTAAATTTTATTTAAAATCATTTTTATCGTTATGTAACGTGTCAATTACTTATTATTTATTCAAGTATTTTTACTTTAGGTTTTCCTAAATATTGAATGAGAAAAGATTTCAAAGAATCTTGTTTTTGTCTAAGAGATATCTTTTATAGTGGATTTAATTAATAAATGTGCTCTAGAACTATGTTTTGCATTAGTATAAATATCGATGGACTGTAGAGTTTTTACGTAATTCAAGAAAACCATAACTAAAAAAAATTTGATAGGAGAAACTCTTTATTAAAAGTTTTTGAAATTAATAATTTTATGAATTTTTTCATAATTGTTCAAAAACTAGCTTATTTTGTAAAAAAAATTAATGATTTTTTTTATCCTATGGCAAAAAAAAGTTTATTTTTTTATCTTATTTTGAAAAATCAACCATTTTGAAAAATAGCTGTATCTGCTTAATTTTTTCTACTTAAATTTGATGACTGAAAACTTAAAATGTTCTCCAGAAAGGATATCCAGAAAGGAGTTCAGTTTTTGAAAAACTTTAAATAGTAAAGGACTCTTGTAAAGGATTCTTGTTTTGGTTGAAATTTTTGAGTCAAAGCGTAAGTTAGCATTTTTTAAATTAAAACTTTTTTCCTTCCCAATATGTTGCATAGATGTTCTACCAAAGATGTTGCATAGGTTCTTGGCAAAAATTCTTTTTAGAAGTATCACATTTTGCTGTTTGATTCAGCCTTCTGTTGAATACCGTAGATGTGACAAAAAGTAAGGGGGTATATAACTTACATCTATTTTAAAAACTCTAACACAGGTCTTTTGAACCTTAAAATGAAAATTAAGTTTTAAAAAACCATGTAACTAATAATAAAGGTTATACAGTATATTGTAAGCCCAAGTTGCGTTCATAATTTTTTTTATAGAACAGTAAGAGTTATATGTATTTTTGTTTTCAACATTTTAGTCAATCATTAATGCAAGAGTTCTTGGCATCAGAGAAGATTTGCATCATAGTTGGTGAAATTAGGTACATTTGTATAATCTTTAATTTAGTTTAATTTGCATAATGTTTAGTTTATGAAAGTTTGGTTTTAAAGTTACATAAAAATTACTTGCGAATTACTGCAGCAATAGGCTATAAGATATTCAATGTACTGAAGCTCCTGGCACGCAGGCTAAACACGCATTCATAATTATGTATATATATATATATATATATATATATATATATATGTATATATATATATATATATATATATATATGTATATATATATATATATATATATATATATTATATATATATATATATATATTAATATATATATATATTATATATATATATATATATATATATATATATATATATATATATATATATATATATATGTATATATATATATATATTATATATATATATATATATATTAATATATATATATATATATATTATATATATATATATATATATATATATATATATATATATATATATATATATATATATATATATATATATATATATATATATATATATATATATATATATATATATATACATATACAGACCTTTTGATAAAGGATTTCGCGTTGTTATTTCTTGCACTTGTCTAACAAATTTACGTAGTGCTACCCTGTTTTTTTTTTTGTTTTTTTAATGTTAATTCACCTCCCCAACGCTGAGAAAACTACAACAGTTAAGGAGATTATTATAGTTGAGGTTACAAACTCTGTAACTCCAAAACATGAACCTTGACGAACAAGGCCGCTTCGCAGAGAAACTAGTTGAGCGTGGTACTACCAGGGACGAAGTGGGGATCAAATTTGGAACCTCTTGCTTATGAGGCATTTACTTACACTTAAAACTTTTTTATGTTACAGAAAAACTTGTTAGTTGTTTTAATATGAATTTTGAACACGACTTTTTAAAATTAAATTTTTTTTTTGATATAATGATTGATTTTATCACATGGCAAGCACAGAGTTTTTGTTACAAGTATGTATGTTGAAACAAGTTAAACAAATATGTAATGAAAATTTGCAATACCTTGCAATGTCTAAACTTTCTAATACCTTGCAATGTTTAAACTTATGCTTACAAGATTTGTTTGAAAAAAACAAGTTTCTTATATTTAGTATATAAGTTTTGGTATATATGTTTATACTAAATATATAACCATTTTGTGAATTAAATCCGGAGTAACCATTTTGTGACTCAAATCTGGAGTAACTATTTTGTGATTCAAATCCGGAGTCCTTTTCGAGACTCTGCATTCTAGTTTATAAGTTTATGTAAAAAATAATGTTTGAATTTTTGATATTTCTCCTGTTTAAAGCTTTAATGCTTTTTTTTCTCTTTTTTATTTCATTTAAAAAAAAAATTGTTGTAAACATCAAAAATGTGCACAAAGTGTAGGTTATTTAAACAAATACATTGAAAATTTTTGTAAAAAAAACTTCAGTAGCTTTTGCATAAAATTACTTGTATTGTTTGGTTTTTCTTCTTGCAATATTTAAAATTTTAAATTTACTACTAGCTGACATTTAAAAAATGCAAAATTAAAAATTGAATTTATATATATATATATATATATATATATATATATATATATATATATATATATATATATATATATATATATATATATATATATATATATATATTTATATAAGAATTATAACAAATTTAAATATTAGCATATTTTTATTCATAGTTATAGACAAAATATGATAATGTTGAAAAAAAAAATTGCTTTATACTGGAGGTAAAAAAAATTCTATAATATTTTTACATAACATTGTTTTGAGTACATAACATATTGTTTGAATAAATAATATATTGTTTTGAGTACATAACATATTGTTTTGAGTTAATTTTGCTTAAGATGAATGCAGGTTTTCTTTATACAGAAAATAGAAATTATGAAGAATCTACTTCATAAGACAACTTCTTGCAAATTTAATTTAATAAAATGGCATCGCTTTGCTCTAAAGCAATACATACAATATATTAAATGTTAGACATCATAAATACAGCACTTGAAGAACTTTGCAATGCTAAATGGAAAATTCGTTGGCCATAGTGGGGCACCATTTTCTTTCACCAGAATCAATCCTCTGAGTTAAAGTTCTTGCTTTTCTCCAAATCATATTAATATCTTTAATTGTGCGACTAATACTGTCCTTTACAGTGAGGTATTCTTCGAGGTGGTAAAAATGAAGGCAGCAGATGGCATCACTGTTTGTAGCCAATCTTGCTGAAGAGAATTAGTTTGTAGCCTTGCCAACAAGCCAAACTTCAGCACAGCTTTTTGTTGCAACTGCCATTATGTACCTAAGTACATGCCTGTAAATATAAAAAGTACTTAAGAGTAAATATTGTCATATTATTCCTGCTTATAAATTGTTATTTCTAATTGTTCAATGTTCACTTTATTTTAAAAGCAATAACAATCGTTTCAAAGCCTCAATATGTGACTGATAAATTGGTAATGTTACACTAATCAATTTAATAAACAAAAAATTATTAATTATTCATATTAACTAAATATATAGCTTGCGTGATTTGAAAAAATTAATTTTTTTCTGTTATTTAAATTTAAATAAAAACAGCGAAAAGAATGCTTTGAATAAATACTAGATAAAATAATTAAAAAAAAACTGGTAAAAAAATACACTTTTCATAAAAGTTGAAAAAAGGGACAAAAAAATTTTATTGCAATTTTAAAAAAAAACACTTTTTTTTGGCAAGTGCTTTTTTATGCGCTCGCCAAAGTTTTTACAGATGTGTGTGCAAGGGCAAAAAGGTTTGAGCGAGAAAGTGCTGGCTAAACAGAGAAGACTGATATATACAAATATATATATATATGTGTGTGTGTGTATGTTGATTTCAATAAAAAAGACAGCATATAACTATTTTTAAATATATTTTTACATAATAATATATTAACGACATTTCGCTGACCTATTGTGGTCAGCGTCATCAGGTAATAATTATTTATAATAATATACATATTTATAAACATCGTATAACAAGAATATGACTTTTAAAGAATATATATATATATATATATATATATATATATATATATATATATATATATATATATATATATATATATATATATATATATATATATATATATATATATAGCCCGCTAGAAAGTCTTGCACAGACTTTTTTGAAAAATTAAAATTATGTTTTGATGAAATTTTCATTTTGTTTGGTTAGCGATAAAAAGACAGAAAAACAACTTGCAAAAAAAAAAACCTAACGTTTTTTTTGTAAAATTTTTTATATTTAATTTTTATTGTTTTTTATAATAATTTTTTATACTTATTTTTTTATATTTAATTTTTATTAAAAATATAACTTAGAAATTAAGTAGATAATAAATATAATCAATTGTTCTAATTAAACAACAATATATAAAAAACTGTTATACATCATATAGTTGTTTTATAAATGAACGAATGATCCTAATTATATTATTATAAAAGTTTATTCATTTCTCTTCTTCTTTACGAATGAAAATGTTATCGTATATAAAAATTTATACATTCAGTTTATTAACAATTAGGAGAGTGACAAATCATTAAAAAAGACTTAAGTAACTAAACTTTGAATAGTTGAATTACTTGTAAAGTTGAGATAACGGTTTTTCAAAGTTAAATTGCAGTTTTTATCTTTCGCTCAGAGTTATTAGTGTGCGCTCTACTTAGTGAGTTTTTGTTATTATGTTTTTGTTTTGGTTTTTTTCTCAATTTTTATCCAGGCTTTATTCTTTTATTCTTCAGTTTTATTAGTTGTATAATCGAATTTTTGTTGAGTTTATTCCAAATATAGTCAAACCAATAATTTGCAAGCAACGCAAAATTTGGCAGAAAAACAACCTTCTCAACCATAACATTTTTTTATTCAGGCATCTTGAAGTTTGCTTAAACGTTGCAATTTGCAAGATCTATTTGAGTAATAATATATTGTCATTTAATGGAATAAAAAATAAATTTTTTTATTGCGCTTCTTTAGTTGATTTTTTTTTTGTGCTTTTTAAATTAAATTAAATTTTAAAAATTTAACTGTGTTATCTTTAAGCTATAAAGATATAGTAACAATTATATTGAAATCTTTTTTAAATAAATCTGGAGCCAAAGAGTTCTATTCTTTTACAATTGTTTTTCAACTGTTTAGACTAAAATTTGAATTATTGCTATCATTTCTTATGTAATATGGGTGTGTATAAAAAAAAGCGTTATATGAATTTAAAAAAACAAACAAGGAATACATAAGGAATATATATAGTTATAAATTATTTATAAATATTCATTTTAAATAAATTAGTCAAAAGTATTTTCAATTTCAAAATGGATCGTAGTTTCTTCACTTTCACTCGATTCAGGTCTTTTTCCTTTGCCCCAATGCCGATATGTAGCTAGTGTAACTCTGTTACCGGAAGATGCCATTTTCTTAACTGAAACTTTACTTTTTAGCTTGAAAATTTGAATAGCTTGAAAACTTTAATAACTTGATAATCTGAATAACTTGATAACCTGAATAACTTGATAACTTTATATCAGGCACTCAATTTATACTATAAAAATCTATTAGCAGTCTGTTGATTATAAATGAGATATTTGATTATTAATAATGAGTTATATATTAGCATATTAATGGAACTGCCGCCTTTTTCAAAAAAAACCAGGAAGTTAACGCGGAAGTAAACACGGAAATATGCACTACTTAAAACAACTTTAAAGTATGACAAACTAGTTTATCAATCAGTTAAGCAAAATGTTTGGTTATACAAAAAAGAAATTGTCTTTATTATCAAACAGTTCTTATTGTATAATTTTACAAATTTTGAAAGAATACTGAAAACCCGGATTATTATTTTAAATTCTTTTGCAACACATGTGTAACTTGCCTGTTTTTTATCATACTAATTATTTCATTTTTAACATAACCCAGAATAATACGAAACAGTTATAGTTTAAAATAGCTTGCTTGATTTTTATTTTTTATTTGTAAA